TGTGTGTGTGTGTGTGTGTGTGTGTGTGTGTGTGTGTGTGTGTGTGTATACAATCAGGGGAAAAAGAGGCCGCAAATTTGAAAGTAAGAAAGGAAAGGTAAATGGGAGGGCTTCCAGGGCTGAAAGGGAAGAGAGAAATGTTATAATTATTAAGTAATCACAGAAATAAAAAGTAAAAAACAAAAATGAAGGTTCAAGAGAAAGGAGCTGAGACAAATTGTTCTTTGGGGTATGAGTTTTAGTAGAAAATGTGTTAATACCACAGACAGCATGCATGAGAATCATCAGCAGAATGACACAAAGTGGCCTTCTCCTTAAAGTGTTCTGAGGGATGAGGGAAGGTCCTATACTACAGAGTTGATACATAGTTTGTAGTACGTGCTTGTGGATAGGTCATCTTTGATTCTTAGACATGGGGGAAGGGAGGAAGATTGCAGGGTCATAACAGGTGTTCCTGTCAGTAGCTTTCAAAGAGGGTGAGGATAGACAGGATGCAGGATGTATGCCCTCATCTGCGAGGCCTCAGACTCCTGATGCAACCAAGGGTCATGTGGCTGATCTAGGGACCCATTCTAAAGAGCATCCAGCTGACAACCATGAAAGATGGCTGTATGACACTCAGCTCTAGAATGTTTGCTGAAACTGTGATAAAGTCGTTGTGCAAGCAAGCCTTGTTAAGGAGCAAGAAAAAAGTTTGAAGTTCCTGGAGGCCACGTAGCAGCCAGAGGGCACTGAACTGACTTGGAGAGACACCAAATCCAAAGGTATAAAGAAAATAGAAAAGTAAAATAAACATCATTTTGGTGTCTGCAACTAACCATAGTTAGACTGAACTTCTGAAAACGGTAGAAGACTCCATTTCCCACCCAGAGCTCCTCTGGGTGAGTTGCTGACATTTGCTATCAAGAGAAGTCCAGTTGATTGACAACAGCAAACATATTATTATAACTTTTCATTGCGTTTATGTGGATCACTGTAAGAGCAGTGGTGGTGAATGAAGGGGGTTTGTAACAAACACAGAGACAGAAACATAATTAGCGTGGCCAGAGTTGAATTTGGCTTCCTTAACACATCTACAGAAATTTCATACAACTATAGCAATTATGTTCTCACACCTGGTATTAGAGGGAGGGAAGATGGAGTCCTTTCTGCTACCCTCTCTTATAGTATAGTCACCTTCTGTTTCAAAACTCCACTAGTAACACAATTCTAGAACCCATTCACTTGCTTTTGTATAACTTTCAGGAGATGATATAGACTAAAATACTAAGGAGGTTTACAAGGGAAACTGTGAACCCATAGCCCATCCTCTTAAACTATTTCTCTCAGCTGGACCAAAGTAGCTTGGGAAAGAGCCAGCATAGTCCACTCACTCACGGCTTTGGTGCTAAGGAATCCAGTGTGGCTCTTGTGGAGATGTCCAGCCTAACGCTAATTCAGGCTCACATGCACAATTCTGTCAAATTCCAAGCTTCAGTCAAGTTAAGCTATCATTTTGTTATCGGATTTCTCACTGATGAATGACATTTGATGTCTAGATATCTTACTTTTCTTTCCCTCTCTATTGATTCAGAATTTGAGTGTCAAAGAGGAAGGGTAGGTGTGTATCTTCTTGAATACCTTAACTTGAATCCAAGAGACTCACCCACATCTGAAAGATTTATTCATCACCTTAGATTTTCAGTATAGACTCTGCCTCCTCAGAAGCAAACTGGGAGGTGATTCAAAGAATTGCACATAAACACAGAAATCAGGCTTACATTTGATGAGCTTCTTGGTGGTGTTTTGACAGCTGGTGTCAAAATTATTCTTTTAATATAAGCAAAAATAAAATAATGGCATTCATTAAATATATAACTTGTAGTTAGAGCAAAAAATCAAAGTGCAAATAAATTTGTTAACAATTGAATAAGTAGGGAAAGGAATTAGGGCATGAAATTACTTAACATTGACTATTGTACTAGTCATGAAATGAACACAATCTAAAACTCACACACATGTTTTGAAACAATGAAGTGATTGACATAAGCACCCAATTCCAGTTTGGCTGTATCTCTTCATTGCAGATGTGGGGACCCATATAGAAAGTGATGGGGAAAGGGGCCACAGCATGGAGTCAGAGGAACTACAGGATGGTGATGTCTTTGTTCCCCTAACTCACATCCTTCCTCACAACTTCAGAGCCGTCTGCTAAAGAGCAAGAGCAATCCCATAGGATCCAAAGAGTTCCAAATGGAACCAGAGAGGCAGTTTTAAACTCATCAGAGAATTTTTGCAAAATTTTCAATGAGCCCATCTTCATTCAGGTTTGAGTACTGAGGAAATTCTGCCTTACCAGGAAAACCAGTTTCATTAAGCGGAATAAAAATATGCAGGGTTTCAGTTTAGAGAGAGAAACAGAGCAAGAAGTTGGATAAGTAGGCCTAGAAACACGAACAAGGGAATCCAAGAGCTTAGCTCAGAGCCACAGAGTCTAGGATGATGGGAGGAGGGTAAGCTCCTTTACAAGTCTAGGGCAGGAGGGGATCCAGCAATGAGGGCCCAAACTAGAAAGGAACTGGCTCAGTTATCACACAAAGAAGAAAAAAAATACCCTCATTCGCCTGTTACATGGATTAAAAACCAGCCATCATCTAGCTGCCTCCAAAATCCTATAGTAGTACCTCATCTGATAGAAACATAAAATAAACCCCCACTTGACATTTGAAAAGTTGGCCAAACTAGCCAAATATTACAGAATAAATCCACGTGTCATCTAACCCATATTAGTAACAGATAAGTCTGTGTGAGAGAACAGCCTCTGGACTTTGTCTTTAGACTAGATCTCCTCTCTCTTATTGTTGAGTATATGCCTCAGTTGCTCTCAGATTGTAGAGGAGAGAAAAATGACTTGGTGAAAGGCAATAAGGAGAAATGAAGTCTACCTGTCTCTATAGCCCATGTCCTGTGTGTGCTAAGCACCTCAACTATGTCATGTGTCATTACTACTAGGTTGTCGATGGCATCACTACGTTGCTTTTGTGGTCAGGTCACTTAGTGTTCAAAGGTGAAACAGTTTGGTTAAGGTCTCAACAGGGGGCAAATTGGGAACCTTCAATTCAGGTGTGCAGAGCAAACAGCCCACATGTTTATGTGTATACTCTAATATCTTTGCAGATTTTGATTCATTCTTCATCTCCTTGCCCAGAAAGGGAAACAGGCAAAGTTGATCTGCCACCATCACCATGTAGAAAATGCGAGTCCACACTACTCCTCCACAGCTGTGAATCACATCACCATGTGGCATTCCATCGAATTCGGGGTAATGGACTGGGCATCTCCCCTACAACAATGTTGACGCTTTGATCCTTTGGAGCACTGTCACTTCCATAGCTCACCAGCAGGTGACAAGCCATCCACAAACTACAACTCAGAATGATAATGATGATGAACCCCGGGAAAACTCTGGCCAGACCTGTAATTTCCCATGAGGCCAGAGCCCATAGCGCATGAGCATATAGGCTCAAGTGCTTTGTTGCCTGGACTTCCAGTCCAGATTCATGAATCCTTCACTGGTTTACCATGGGTATGCTTCTTAATTTTTTACACCTCCATTTCTCATTTGTGAATCGAATCTGAAGCTGCCCGGATTAAAGGTATGGGCACATACAATGTTTAGAAAGTGTCTAGGACCTTAATTATTGGCTAATAAAAATTACTCTGCAGTCAATATTTTTCTTTCTTTGAATGTTTTAATCATTTCTGTTTTACTCTACAAGCAAGCTCTTCTTACATAAGGGCCATTCTAGAGCTTTCCAGGTATCCCATGGCATGCGGCGGAGGCTGAGTTCAGCAACTAGCAGAGGTACAGTGGGGGTACATGCTCAGTCAAATAACAGTGAAAATTATAATAATGATGTTAATAATGCTGGAGAATGCCTGGGGGAGGCATTACATTCCCTTTGACTTCCAAACACAGGAGGATAATTAAGTAAAGCAAGGCTTGTGAAATCTCAGGGAGGGGTTTTCCCATTTACATCACAATTCTCCAGCCTCATTGGATCTGAACATTTTTCCCCATGTCCTCAGCACTTTTGAAAAGCATGTGTTATATCATAACATGCCTTATAAAAAAATTCCTGAAGCAATTAGTGCATATTTAATTATTGGTGATTAGCAATGTACATTAGATTATCAAAGGTGTCATATAAGTCTTGCAATAAAGAGCTTCATTTGACCTAAAATTTCCTATTCTCACTTATTAACTTTTTATCAACATGTAGTAGTAAGTTTTTGTTGGGAGACTTTGACAGATTATAGTGTTTTTAGAGCATAGGTAGGGGAGAAAGAATGCAGTTTGGGCCAGGACAGTGAAAAGAGGGGTGAGTTTTTATGCTATCAAGAAGTTATGGGCCACGTGTATGGTTTGAGTACATTAGGTTGCTATTCTGAAGAGCATAAACCAAGTATTCTTTTAATTTGTTTTTTGATAATAGAAGTCCAGTGCAATCAATCAATCAAGCCTTATTAACTGTCAACTGAAATTAATACCTTTCCAAGAATATAATTATATGATAATAAGTGAAAAACATCAGGTTGGAGACTATTTCTTTCTTGGCCTTTGCTGACCTTGTGAACCTGGCCTATTCTTTGTCATTTGTACAGACTAGTTAGAAATTTGGCACACCTTAAACAGCATGAAAATGATTACTAAGCAAGACAATAAGATACCACTTATAACCTGGTGACTGTGTATAGATTCACTGTCTGATTTTATGAATTCTCTAAATTAAAATTAAACTTTTAAACCTCTTTTCACTGTTTAAAAAAAAAAAAAATCAACAACAAAAACACCAAATAAACAAACTAGCTCTTTTCCTCTTCCAATTTTCTTTTTTTTTTTTCTTTGTAGCTCCTGCCTTCCACCAGCACTGATGCAGGGGGTATGGCTGAAAGTAAAAGAAATTATTAATTTCAAATAAAATTACTGGTTGGCTCGGACATTCCAGTTTAGCCCTGTGTTCTAATTGTCAGTACTAAGAGAAAGCACAGCACATAATTACCTTTATTCCAAAGGTTCTATAAAGAACAATGAGCAAGGAAAGGGATTACTGTACCTTTAGTTCTGTAATTATTTGTGACTGTTCTCAGAATGTGTATTTTATGTTTTTCCAGGAAAATGAAAAGGACTCACTGCTGAGCAAGATTGAGGTGAGAGTGCCACCTAGTGGCAGCTATTTATAACAGGCTGTAAATTGCATCATTCTGGGATTTAACCAGCCAAATCCAGAGGAATTAGAGCTATCCACAACCTTAGAGCATTTGTGAGGCTTGTTTGACCTCACAGCTCATGGGGACAGCTTGAATGATTATGGAGAGCAAAAGTGGATTCTAAAAAAACATAACCCTCTTTTTTTAAAAAAAAAAAAAAAATCTCATTTTCTACCATTAAGTTACCCTGAAAGTCCATAGGTCAGAAACTATTTCCAAAGACTGAATTGCGTCTCTGTGGAGTTGGAGTGAGTGGGATAATTGATAGGACTCTGTGTGCCTTCTTTTTCTAGGAGGAAGAGTCAGCATGCCCTGGCCAGTTTCCTGAGACGTATTCCCCACCTCACCCTAACCCACTGGAAGAGAAATCATTTTCTTTTGATGGATTATGAAGTGCAGCAAACTGCTTCCTTCTTTGGAATCACACAGATGTAGATTTGAAGCTTAATTACACAGCTCTAACTTGCCTGTTCCTCTTCAGTAAAATGACAATAAGCACATTTATTTTGAAAGAGTATTGAATTATTGAAGATTAAAGAAACTGATAATCATAAAGCAGCTTTGATGGCATCTAATGCTGACTGGATATATATTGTGTTTTTTCTCTGCATAGATTTCTCTCTCTCACTCTCACACACATGCTATACTACACTACAATTACATTTAGATTCCAGAAGTAATGAAGATCATGCGTCATAAATTAGAATTAAATTTTAGAACCTACTCTCACAGAACATTAATGATGGAAAGGGCCTTAAAAATAACAGAGGTTCAAGTTTCAAGTTGGGGAAATGAAGAAAATGAGATTTCTTCTATCTATCCCAAAGGCATAAAACAATTTACCTGGCACTGATTGTATTAAACTCAAGGCTTCCCACCATCTCAGCTGTCTTGCTCTTCACCAAAGGTATTGGTTAGCGACAGCTGGGGCTACAGACTATTTCAGACAAGGGTCAGGAATAGCAAGGGGTTTCCAAAACATCCCCTAGGAAGTTAATGTCAAGGCTAGATCAGAGGCCAGCTCAGATGCCAGCAGAGTCCCATCTAATTGCCCTGTGCTGCCCTGAGTTTACTTTTCTTATGTGGATGTGAATTCAGCATACTGCGTACTTGGATGCTAGGCTGCAGACTCAGGACCGTTTTAATTAATTATTTAATTAATTAATTTTGATTAATTATAACTATCCATCATATTCTGATAGGGAGACTACCTTCATTAGCCAGTCTTTAAAATAAATCAACCCCAGTTGGTTGTTTTCTCCTCTGGTTGGTGGTTATTATCCCGTCCTCTAATACCAGAATCTCAAGACATATTCCTAACATTTTCAAATATCAGTGTTCTTTCGAATCTACTCAATTAGTTTAATGATAGGAAATGGGTCATTGCTGTGTACCCTTTATCTTCTACTCTTCTAGCACTTTGCTGACAGATAACACCTATGCATTGTGTGAGACTATCAGTGTTCCTGTACATATGTATGGATTTATTCTAAACACAAACTCCACTCTGCAGAGGATTTGCCTCTTTGAGTATTCTATCCCCCCCCCCCCATAACAATGCTGGATAGACACAGGTGCTTAGTGAATAACAATTAAATAGATGAGTTGCCAATTAAACCAAACATGTCCAGCACCCCCTACCATACACTCTTCTAGTACTTATTACATTCTCCGTGACATTCTATGTTTTTGGACTGTCTACTTTCTTCTCTGAATGAGCAGTTTGTCTGCTGGTGGAGAGAACAGTCACATGGAAGGTGATTGATCAGGGATTTTAATTATTAGTAATAGAGGGATCTAAAGAGCTCTATCCCTGTTCTCTGGGCATAAGCTACACAACAAGGAAGGAAGGAAGGAAGGAAGGAAGGAAGGAAGGAAGGAAGGAAGGGTGAGCCTGATGAGAATAATATTGCAATAATAGGCTAGCTGTATACTACAAGTTGAAGAAAAGGGATTGTGAAATTCAGAGGAAGGGGAAATTTTTAGTCCTGCCTTTGCTTGTCCATACAGACTAGTATGTGTGACTTCTATTAAACAAAATGGAAAGTTTCAAAGGGGGAATGGCGGACAAGACAGTGAAAGCAGAGGCAAAGCTCACCACAGTCACACTTACCCTCAGCCACGTCATCATCCACTGTTAACTTAAGGCTTTTTCCTCTCCGCACTACCCGGACAGTGTGCCACTCATTGTCATTGAGCTTCTGCCCTGCATACAGGGTCTCAGGTCCTTTGCCTATGAATGGTGGTAAGTGTCAAAAGTTAGAGCCGGTTCCCAAAGTACTGCTCATGGATCAAGTTTGTCAAAGCCACACTGGTGTATATGACCCAGGACAGCCAACAATCCTACTTCCACTGATCTTACTGAACCCTCTACATTAATCTCCAGAAGCAGGCATCTCAATTAAAACGCAGAGGACATTCATCCATAATGAGGGAAAGAAGGACCCTCTTTTATTCATAGTTACAAGATCTAAAATACTAAAGACACTTGAAAGATTTGTAGCAACTAATCAGCTGGCTTTTTTGACAAGTCTTAGCTATCAGAAATTCATCATATTTTTATTTGTATTAATCTCCCATTTCTCTAAGCATATTACACTAGTGTGGTTTATACAAAATATTTACCAGGTGGATGAGAAACAAATCCTTGAGGTCTATCACCTTCACTTGGCATTTCCACTACCCACAGTCCTATCAGAATTTAGCAACTATAGCAATCGTAACAGTAAGCAACACAATAGAAATTGTATCTAGGTTTAAACACTATAAATAGCACTTCTAGAGTAATATGAGGGGCCCCAAGCTTTTTCTCATTGTTCATCATCCTCCAAAAAAAGAAAGAAAGAAAACAAAATGAAAAACAATCAAAGGATCCAAAGAATGAAATGATATAACATTTCAATAATGATTTTAAACACTGCTTCAAATAAAGCACCACTAGGTAACAGCATAAACTAAGCCATCTCAAGAAACCCATGTTAAAATAATCAAGAGGAAATTTAAGTTTACCTTATGAAGGGTCTGGGAAGCAAGGAATTATGGCGTTTAACGGTAAAAGACCGCAAGATCTTTTGAACAGGGGGTGTTCAAGTGTTCCCTTTAGTAAGAGAAATTAACTCCAGAATGCACATCACCATTGGCCCAAGATAGAGATTTGAAGACAAAGAAGACTTCAGAGAAGATGTGGTCTTAGACCAAGCTTCCCCTTGGTGAGGCAGAGAGCACAGTCCATGCAGAAGCTGGTGATTGAGTGTTTCTAAATGAGTCAGTTAATACATGGACAGTTTTGTGCTTAAGATTGACTCAAAATATATTAAACTATTCAAGGGATGAAACTATGATATATTATTTAGAAAAGAAAATAACAATATCACCCAGACAGGGAGCTCTAGGTAATTTTAAGTTGTAGCTTTTAAATATCGAGGAATTAGTAGTCTTACTTTGGCTGGCTATAAGAGTTACAGAAATTGTTAAAGTGAAAGTTATTTTTCCCCTTGAACAATAAAGGCTTTAGAGTGAAGAATTTTATTTTAATTTCACCAACCAACATGCAACACAAATGAATAAGAATCTGGAACATTGAGTGACAAAACTTGAATTGGATCCAGTGAGCCTTAAGTCAGGTACTGATGACATGAAATAGCTCAATGACTCTTAGGAGAAGAATTTGCTAATAATCAAGTGTTATTTAATCTCATCTTTGCCTCTCAAAATTGCCTTAAACTCACACACTAAAATAGAACTTCCCTCTATATTTCAACTCCCTAGACAGACCCATTTATTATCTCCTTCAACTCAGGCCTCAGATGACTGCAGTGTAGCTTTTCAAACCCCTCACTGAGAGGGCATTGGAAAAAAATGGACCACATCATGTGAGTGTTTTTTTATAGCAAGAACAGATGTTCTTAGAACAAACAATCTGCCTTTGTGTTTTTTTCTTTGTTGTTGTTGTTTTTATCCTCTTCATTCTACATGCAAATGCTGAGATAAGAAAGAACAAAGCAAAGATGGATACAGAGAATATTGGCTATGGAGGCTGAACTGTTTCAAATAGATATGGGCTTTTTGAAACACTTCTAGAGGTAGCATCTGTTCTTTAGGCAATTTTTTTCACATCAGTTAATTTTTATGATTGGGAACAAGATAAGAGAGAGAATGATAAGCACAAACACATTTCAGGACATTGCTACATAAGCATCATGTTAGCGACAGATCAGTAAAACAAGCTTTGGTGTTGCCCAAAGTGCTTTCAATGAAGCTAGCTAGCATTTTAGAGGAATGGCATTTAAGGTATCCAGCAAACATGTATGGTGGCCAGATGAAAACACAAATATTCCACTTTCCACTTAACTTTAAAGCATTAGAATGTGACTTCCTATAATTAAAATTGTGGAAAGATTAATGGAACTTTTCATGCCTTGCTATTTCCAATATCACTAATTTTCATTACTGTAAGAGTATGCGTGTGTGTGGTGAGGGCAGGGATGGGATTCACGTCAACTAAAATGATAGGGAATCTTATGCAATATTCATTTTGAAGTAACAAATTGATAAACCTCAGTGAGCTTCTGTAAAACTCATCTTATAGAAGTGAAGTGTCCATGGCATTCATGCTTAGTCAAGCCAAATGGTCTAGTCACCATGCTAGTGGGAAGTGATTCTTAAATTTAGCTTCAAATCTGGGCAAACATAGAGGGGGTATCCAGTTAACCTGCACTCACAAAGGGGGTTTAGTAGGTAAGTGAGGAAAGTTTGTACTATCACAAGCCAAAAGTTGAAATACACAAACTTAGGCTTGCTAACCTGAATGATCTAGTCCAGGGGAAAAAATCAATCAAGAAGCCCCTGAATCAGTATCAATGGAACAATGAAAGTAGGGTCCTTTCTTATAGGCAGAAGGTGCCCCCAAGAGGAAGGAAAAGGAGAAAGACATTGTTCAAGGCAGAACTGAAAATGAAACCACCAAGAAATAACAACCTTGGTTCCATAAATGCTCTGATACTGTTCTCTTTGCAAAAACTAAGATGATTATGATCCACAAAAGGACACACATTGGATATGCATGTGTCGAAGTGTTTCCCTTCTTTCATAATGTGCACAATAATAATCGATCTAAGGAAATACTGTGATTCTCTTTAAGCTTGGACATGAGTGCTACATCTAAACCAAAGAACCTAATCTGCCCTTATCAGTTGACTTTCCAAGATCATGACTCTTATGATAAATAGGAAGAAGCACAGAGGAGTCCTGGCATTTTGTAGGAACAGAGTGTCAAATTCTTCATTATGAGAAAGCAAATAGCCTCTAATGACTGTTTGGAGTGCTATCAGCAGAATGGCGACTCCCTCTGCTCCTGCTACAGTCTCACAGCGTTGTCCCTTTGAGGGAAGTCTTTGCCTCATGGAACATAGACTGATGAATGGAAAACAGAGAACAAGAAATGGCAGCTGAAAAACACCAGCCAGATTCTTTTCTGGAACACTACAGAAGCCCCGTGTCTTTAAGCAATGAGAATGAATAATAAAATCAAAACAAAACATCAAAATAAAAAACACTGCTGCTTGATTGGAGGAAGATGACACTCAGAAATCAGAAAATTCTTTCCTCTCTTGGCAGACCTACACATGGTGGACTTGAGAGTTTAATAATATTGAACCTAGTTAGGCTCTTTAAAAAACAGACTATTTATATTATATGATCTTTCTATTTCCTCCAGGAATAATATAGCCACAAAACAAGTTAACCCCAATATGCATTTTTGTTAATCTATTTCTATGACCTCACCAATTTAAGCTAAACACACTGGTTTTGCTCATATGCAGGCAGTAGAAATTCCTTCCATCTACCACAAAGGGCTGTTTTTGATAGCAGGAGGGGGATATTCAAGGACTTTTGCTTGCTGGGGTGGGCAGGGGTAGCCAACATGACTTTTCTTCACCTGTATTTCTCTATTTGTGTAAAACAGAAAATGATACCTTGGTTTCCTTAGGAGCCAAGTTTCACGTGTGTCGAAAAGAAAACTCCACAATGCACTAAACTGCAAGAATTTCTCCTTTAAAAAAAGTGTATATAATTCTATATCTGCATGGTATGGTAAAGGGATGTGAAAATGATTTGTTACGATAAAAATAAAACAGTGATGAACACTTACCTTTGTTTCATCAGCGTCTAGCTGTGACAAGCACTCTGCTGAGCCCAGAGTGCCTCACACTTTATCACCAGCCTTCCCAGAAAGAATAGATTATTTGGGGGTGAAGCAAAGACAAAGAAAGGAACTTAAGGAGGAGGATAAGGACAGAGAAGCATTTTTATTTTCTGCCTAGAGAATTTAAAAAAAAAAAACGTTGAGGATGTGTGTGATTTGCCTTTGTAAGTATAAACTTAATGGTTTTTCATAAACTCATTTCTAAAGCATACATTTTCCTAGAGAAACAATTGTAAGCCAGATTATGTGAAATTATGGTAGCAAAACAGCTCAATTAGATCACTTCATTCTCTTCAAAATCCTCAAGCTCCAGGGAGAGCACAGGAACTTTCCATAAGAGGGATGGAATGCACAGTTCTCACTTAAGTCCTCTATGGGGAGCCTTTTAGTGAGGTGGGAAGAGGAGAACATGACTCAACTGAGCACAGGCACCATGGTGGAAGTGTAGCTTCAAGACGAAAACCTTCCAGGGAGCCCAGCAAAACAGCATGTTCAGCAAGAGACCGTTCTTCCTCCTGTAGGGGTTACCCATTACCCTTAGTGTTTTCTGAGCTAATGCTACACAGCCATTCACCTGTGCCAGTGTGTTAGGGCATTGTCTACTACAGGGCTTAACAAGTGGTAGATAAGGAACAGTGAGGCCACACAACCAATGTGGTATCGATGACAAGATAAACAAAGTGAAAAAAGATCCTACATGGAGCTTGCTGTCTAGTGAGGGGTGAGGAGACCTGAAGAGACACAGACAAACTAAGGAATACGGCATAAATCTTGGAAGAGTCAAGTTCCATACATTTAGAAGGCACGAGATCCTTGTGCTGACAGCTAAGCACTCAGGAGACCAGGAAAGTGACACAGGCAGCATTGCCTCTTAAAGGAAGAGATGCATATCATGTTTTCTTTTTTCTTTTTACTCAGACGGCTAGGAATGGATAAAATTAATAGCCTGGTGACCTGTACTATCTGTAGGACCAGGTTAGACCCGAATTCAGGCTACACCTGAATCCTCTAGACTATCACTCACGTTT